GAGGGCCAGGGCTCCTTAGAGGGAGAAGGGTGATTGCAGGCGGGGAGGTACCAGGGCATCAGTGGGGTCATGCCCTGGGCCATCCGCTGGGCCATACCTTGGGCCATGTCGTGGGGCGGTGTATTGGGACGAGCGCGACGAGCTGCTCGCTGCTGCCGACGCGGCGAGGGAGGCGTGCATGGGTCTTCCTCCACCGCCCTTCCCTTCACCGGAGGCCGGGGCTGTGCCCGAGCCGCCGGCGCAGGCGGCGTGGAGGGCGGAGGTGCAGCGCCGCCAGACGCGAGACGCGTTTGCGCGCGGGGTGGGCGGGCGGGCAGATCGGCCGCTGCTGCGGTCGGCCGAGGCCGAGGCGTGGCGCGCGGACCTGCAGCGCCGCCAGACGCGTGACGCGTTTGCGCGCGGTCACATGAGTTTGCAACCGGCTGGGGTGGCGCCAGAGGAAGCGGCACAGGCGGCGTGGAGGGCGGATGTTCAGCGCCGCAAGGCGCGCAATGCCGCCGCGCGCGCCCGTGGGCGTTTCCCCTCCGATCCGCGGTTCCCGCCAGCACAGGCGCCACCGTTGTAGTTACCAGGTACACCTCGTTGATGAACGCGCCGGCGTCCAGTCGAGAGATCACATTCACAGAGAGACAGAGTCAGAGAGACGGAGAACGTGCGCGGGCTCGAGAGTGGGCGCCGGCGCGAGCGTGTCGCGCGAGCGACGGGCGGCGGCGAGAGTGCTGAGTGGCTTGCGCGCGTCGCGGCCGCGCGGGAGGGTTTAGGCCCCCTCTCACAAACGTCTCATTTTACTTCAAGATTTCAAAAGACGTCTCCGACAGCTCTCTCTTGTGAAGGCTAGTGCTAGTCCCCCACCGGGAGGACGACCCCGGCTAGTCGCCGACCACACCCACAAAGAACCCTGCGCAAAGATCGCAAGGGCGGGGGCCTGTTCCTTTTTACCCATCTCACAGTAGAGAGCTGTCCGTTTTTATTTATTTATTTTCTCTCTTGTGAATGTCGGTGACGGAGCAAAAGGCCCTGGCCTCGACACCTCGAGGTGATATGGGATGGTG